AGATGAAGAAAGTCTTTGTTTTGGCAGACTTAAATTGACTGGGCTTGGAATAAATGTGTTTTTGGAAACATGACAGAGTCCTACTGACATTTTAGGTTTAGGAAAAAAATTGTGAGCATACTTTGTGGGTTTTGTTTTGTTTTCTTTTCTTTTTAAGAAAACTCAAGAATGTGCAGTATCAAAGTACATAGCATAGAATATGGTAAAAAATGTGTTGCACAGGCTATAATGAAATTGGAAACGAAACTGCCAATGACTTTGGTTAAAATAATGTGAATGATTATGCTTACCTAGACACAGACTCTTTTTAACCTGATACCACCAGATGGCAATCTAACATAAACTTTTGATCACTGACAAAGAACGAGTTTTTGGGCATCTGTTCTGAGATACTGTCCTTTCTTCATTTTGAATTAAATAATGCTGAATTTGCTTGAAAAGTCACTGAATTGGGCCTTACAAGAAGTACTGATACTATGCTATGGATTCTGTAACATTATATAATACACTTTATTCTTTCTATATTCATAAAGAAATGCATCAAAGATTGCCTCAACTTTTAAAAACAAAATAAAAATTGGTGATGTACAACAAAGCAGTGACACAAGATGTGCATAAAACCCAATGAAAGAAATTTTTGAAAGGACAGAAAAAAATGTAGATGAAGTTTGGAAATATGTGTAAATCAATAAAACCATTCTTTCTCTAAATTCTCAAACTGGTAGTCTTCTGATGAAGGTTTTCCTCAATTTGACCAAGATCCTACATTTTCCACAGTGAAATGTAATGCAATTCTTCTAGAATAATTTTTTTAAAAAATCAGAAAAACGCAAATAACAAAAAACCAACAACAACAACAACAACAACATGAAAATGAGTAAAATCTTTATTGTTTCATATTCACAGAAGTAGTTTTCTCCTGTTTTAAATGCCTAATTTCTGTGATATGAACAAGGAGCTCACTGCTGAAAATAGCCAACATAATGAATTTGAATACTGTTGTGAAGTGTTTGTAAAGAAAACAATTTGTTTCTTTTAATCTTATTTTAAAACCTGTATTTTTGCATATTTATGTACTTAAGAGACACATAAAGAATGCAGAGACATGTCGGTCTTTTAAACAGCATCTAAATTTTAGCACTAAGGCCTGTAATTATCAGTGGAGAATATAATTTTGACTCCTCACCCAACAGACATTTAAGTAACTGGTATTACCTGTGCTTTTGAAAGTGTGACTGTGCATGTACTTACTGTTACAGGTTTTATAAATATCTTCTACTAAGTATTTGATTCATCTTTGGTTAGGGTCGTTGAGTCAACCTTAGAAAGGTAAAATACACAAAACGAAAAGTTGTTTACATTTCAGATATCCATTTATTACAACAGGATGACTGTTTATTTTCTTTTGTAAAGTCCATGTTACTACTTTATTGCAGGACTACTGCCCCTATAAAAATTCTGAGTTATTGTTTGGTGGCATCAGCCGTGAAGGCCTGCCAAGAGTTAATGTAGAATCAAGAATTTGTGTGAAGAGTCAGTCAGCCTGAATCCCTTAGTAAGAGGGAAGAGCTTATGTTGGAGAATAAGCAGGCAGTATGTTTGTGCCGAAAACTGAAAAGAAGTTTTCCTTAAATTTGATTTGTAGACAAATTCTTTTGGTAGCTCTAAAATACCATGGACTGTCCAGAATTTGGCCAGCGGCAAAAGAGCGAAATTACAGATTTAGATTTGATTTGGACAAATAGGATATCCTAAAACACAGAGTGATCCAAATTCAGGTTATTTGACCTGTGAATGTTGCACCCCCCAGTCATCTCCAGTAAAGCAGAGTGATTGTATATGTATGTATATATATACACATATATACAGTGTGTGCAATATATGGCCATTTTGGATTGATTTACTGCAGTTATCTGATGTCTTTCAGTCATAGCTTCAGTAAATTTGGGGGTTTAGAAACATATTTTTTAAAAAAACAAGTTAATATTAAGAAATCAGAATGCAAGGCAATATGCTTCATGTAAATGTGACTTCTGATTAAGTGTGGTACCATAAACAGCCAAATCTCAATCTTGGAACAATGGGGAAATCCTAGGAAAAAAACTATGTTTTGAGGAGATGTACATTTCATTATGGTGTAGCAGCTCAATATTTTTCTCCTTAAATATGCAGGTGTAACACCAAGCAGAACAAAATTCCAAGGAATAGAAGTGCTATGAAATGGTTTTGTATTAAAATTAATTTTAAAAAGAGGAAATCTAAACAATGTATTTTGCCTATTATGGCAGGAAATTGTTTCCCAAAACAATGCACAGGCTACTTTGTAAAGTTGAACATCAAACAATAGAGGGACTTACAAACAGAAAAACATATCTACTGGTTTGACATGAATCAGAATTTTAGATATCTAACTTAATCTCTGTTATAATGCTTGAGGTATTCCCAATATTCCTCTTTCCATATGCTTTCTCTGTTGTTTCAAAAAATGCAAAGTGAGATCCCAGCATGCTGATGTCTGTTTAAAAAAAAAAAAGAATCAATAACCTCTATATGGGCCTTATTAGGAGTTGCAGGCATAGATAACTATGGGTATCTATATTAAATGATATAAATATAGTATTTTATTCTGAATTTTCTCAGTTTCATAAGAAGCATTTTAATGGAAACTCCAATATCTGAGGAAAACATTTGAAAGGTTATATTTTTTTTCCCCCTTTTCATTTGATTCTGGTGGATTCACCTGACCTTTGTACGTTCAGAAGTTACTATTTGGAAATCTCACAGCATAACTTATATAAAATTTGACCAGAAGATGTACTGCATGATGTTGATTTCTATTTGTGAAGGAAATAAACATTAGTAGTTTCCATTAATCTTGTACTTATTTTCTCAGGTTTTCAGGTATTTCTTTTTTATAATCTTTTAAAATAAAGTAGTATGATGGAAAGGTTGTTTCATTTATGGTAAAGCTGTCCTAAGATGCATAAAATTGTCCTTACATGTGTAACTTTTGCTATGAAATATCTGGATCAAATCCACTGTGAATATAATAGAATCATTCAATGACTTGGGTTGGAAAGATCCTTAAAAATCACCTAGTTCCAACACCCTTCCTCTCCCCTCCACCCCTGCCCTGGTTAAGGCCACTTTCAACTAGAATGTAGAATAGTAAAGAATATAAAGATATGGATAAACATGTATCATAGTAGGCCTCTCTATCCTGTCTGTTTTTTAGTAAAAACACTGAGTGGCATGCTTTTTCTTTAGGCAAATTTTCCTCACTCTGATTATTTTTTTTTCCTCTGGAATAGCAATGTTCTGTAAGGAAGATCTGTTAGTCTGTGTTCTTTGTATTGATGAGGATAGAGATAAAGCATTCATCTAAAGATGGCTGGAATTCAAGATAAACACCACAAAAGCCAAATGCAAAAGTGGATGTTCAAACACCAACCATATCAGTTTTCTGGCACTTCAGAGAAATATTTTTCTGCCACATTGCCTTTGTCTTGCACAAAGCTCTTTTTCTTCCTCACAGCATCCAACCAAAACTACAGGATGGGGGAAGGGGAATGGACAGACTGGAAGGAGAGCCTGTATGACTGTGTCAGCTAGAGGCTTCTGAGTTGCTTTTGACCTGAAATTGCCTGGTGCTGAGTAATGGGATTGTCATTATTTTTTGGACAGACTTTCTCAGGGTAATAAGAGAGAGTGAAGTAAAACATTTTTCAAAACATTTTGTCCATCAAGGAGAGAAACTCTTGGGCATCTCATTGTTTGGCTTGTGACTATTTACTTTAATTAGTGCAAAATCGGAATACTATTAATTTTGGAGGTGAAGGGTAGGGAAGTGGGGGTGGAAAGGCATAGTGCATTTGGTTCCATGTCCAGAGGACAGTTGTGTATAAATGTATTTGCATGTGGGCACAGAGTATGTAGTTTCAGTTTTCAGTGTGCTACACTTGTCCTTGTGACCCCAAGAAAGTTATTCTTCCCTTACCCTCATGCCCGTGTTTTTCATTTGTAAAACATAAATATGCTCTTATTGGGGAAAAAAAAAAGTATACATATGGTAGTCTGTGAGGGAATGTATCAATGTGAATATGGATTGCACAAAGTTTAGGTAATGCTTCTCAGGGATGGAATGCATGGGTAGGCTGTGGTTGCAATCTTACCACAAAATTCAAGATCATATAGTAAATTGGCTGGCTAAGCCTCCTCAGTGCTTTCTTCTGTTTCCTTGTGTCCTTTCTGTTTGCCTGCCTTCACTTAATTAAATTTTGTTCTAGAGCTGATCTGTTTTTCTTGATCATTTGCTCATATTGTAGCAATAAATAAAAATTTTCATCATTTACAAATTTATTATTGAACTAAAACTTATGGTTGTTTTAAGTTTTATTTTAACTGTCTTTTATGGGCTGTGAAGTAAATATGTACCATTCTCTATACATATTCAGATGCAGTTCTGAAAAGGTACAGATAAAACCCTTGAAGTCCTTAGGATATAGGTATAAATACCATAAAAGGATAGAACAAATAACTACACACAGTTGGTTCGGATCATGAAGTCATCTTGGAAATCAGATTTGCAGCTGCTTATGCAGAGAAGCAAGAAATGGAAATTATTGTAAGCAAGCTGAAAATACCTGCTGTCAAAATCAGCTTGTCCTATGATCATCAGAGTTACATCCTTCTGCTGCATAATTAGTGGGTTCAGAGTTGCTGAATTTGATACATATCAGTGCAAAATTGGGTACCCTGATCTGTGAAAATGGAAGCACAAGCTCTGTTTTCATTAACACTTCACCATTATTGCTGTTTTGACCAGACAGCATCTGGAGGGGAAAAAAAATCAACACCTAGTGATGCATATAATGCTTCCTGCAATAGCTTAACAGTAGGGGGTTTTGCCTCCAGGGTAGAGAGAAAAGGAAAAGAATTGCTTGCTATGAGCTGGAAAAGCAGCGCAGTTGGCTCTGGCAGTGAGGGGGTTGACTGACAGTCTGCAGTGCAGTGGAGTTAGCTGAGCTCCCTATATGGCTGTGGATTAGCTATATGCTAATACTGATAGGAGAGGAGCGGTACAGAGCGCAGTGAGCTGACGGTGGAGGCGATCAGAGTCTCAGCAGAGCTGACTCCTCAAGAGCCATGGCTGAAGGGGGTGAAGGAGGGGAAGATGAAATACAGTTCCTACGAACTGTAAGTATCTGCTTTTTATAGGTCATGTAGTACATGATTTTGTGTCTCATGTCTATTTCTTTTCTGCTATAGTAAAAATAAAGTGTTATTTCTGTGCCGGGCTTTGCCAAATGGGAGAATTGATTTAGTCGGTGGAAAAAATAAAGCAAGAATATGAGCTTTAATAGCATCAGGCAGTCTCGGAGTGTTCTTCCTTGAATTTGCTCAATAGCCAGTTTGGTATAAGGAGACCTATTTCCGCTGTAATCCCCTGTGTTTGAAGCGTCCTCGTCAACTTTGTACTTGGGTTTCTAAATGCAGCATGCCAAATATGTGACCTCTGAAACTTCTGTCTGGGTTAGATTTCACTGACATTAACAGAAGCTTTGCAAATAGGAGTGCCTTAAAATGATGAATAAACCAAGCAAGCCCTTGATGACCTCTTCTGATAAACATGCACGCAGAAGCACACTCTTCTGTGTAGGGAATACCAACAGATGTTGAAGTCAGGGCTCTGGAAATGTTTGGGGTCTTTTCTCTACTTAAAAGGGGCTTATCTTAAAAGGAGATAAGCATTTTTTTGGGAAGGGGTGTTAATTAGTGAAATAGCCTTCACTTAGTGTAATTTTCTATAGAAAGCCCTCACACCGTTCTTTCCTAAAGCTTTACACAAATCTAGTATGACAACTAATCTGGACTTTTAGGCAAGTAGTGTACATGCATTAATTTTTGGGAAGAGTATAAGATCCTTTTTATGTCTCCCATTATTTTTACCCTGCATGACTAAGATTGTATTGTTGTATAACTAGCATGGAAAAACCTGCTATTAATGAGTGTATTCCCTCCTCTTTCCATACTATCTTTACTTTTCATTTATCACAGATAATGTTCTAGAAACAGTCTCCTTTAGAGTTGACTGAACTTTAAAGGATAAGTTACTAAAATAAAACACGCTAAGTTCCCAAAGTAAGAAATTACAAGGTTAATTTTTGGGAGGCTGGAGTGATTTATGGATGGGAGGTAAAGGTTGGAGAGTGGTGATGGCTGCTGCTGTAAATTTCTCAGGTGTGATGAAGTGTCATTAGCACTTCTTAAGCCTTGGAGAATTTCATGGAGGGGGGTGGGGAATGGATAATCACAAAGGATGTTTTCCAACATCTGTCCCTCCACTGCACTTTTTAGATTACCTGTATTACATAGCTTAGTAGATTACTCAGCCTTTAGTAGAAGGTGCTTTAATCCAAGACAGGAGCTTTAAGTGAATATCCTTCATCCTTTCACTTTCTAAGATGTTGCCTTGGCTGAACAGTCATCTTCAGTGATGAAGTGAGAAGCTTTGCCTTTTCATAGGTAGCCTGCGTGTGCTACATGAGATGGCAGTTTCTGCTGCTGTGACCCACTCTCCTGCTAGAATAACTATTGCACTTCTTCCAATGGCTAAAATAAAGTGCTAAGTGTGGGCTAAAAATGGAAATAGTAAAAGTGAGGCTATGCAGAAATGTTCCTTCTACTTAGTGTTAAGAAATCTTTTACAGAGAAAAAAATGGACTAGATTTCTGTCTTAGAAGTCCCAGCTACTTCTTGCTCTGAACAATCATATCATATCGTATCATATATCATATCATATCATATCATATCATATCATATCATATCATATCATATCAGTTACTGCTCTCTCCTCTCCATTAGAAATAACTTCCTTAACATTCGTGGGGAAGGGATGAATTGTTGTTTCTTAATATACTGAGAAAGGAACCATTTATTGGGTACTGAGTGCTTCAGCGAGGTACACCTTCGGTACTGATTTCTTACAGCTTTTATCGTTGCCTAAACACTGTACATACAAACATAAATTACAGTGGTTCTTTAGTACTCTTCCAGTGAAATTGTTGATCAATTAGAATCTTCTCCGGATGAAAATGTTTTCTGGGAATTTGGATTCCTAGTGAATGTTTCCCAGGCTTGTGGAACTGAATCTTCCTTTGAAAATGTTGATCTCCATATTCTTATTTTTGAACCTTTAGAGAGAAGTGGTCTAGGGTATTTTAGGCTCTCAGATAACTCTTTCTTGCTTAGGTATAAAATAAGATTATATATCTTTCAATGCAAAAATATCATACAGTATTTTTTGAAAGAGTAAGAGTCAATCCTTGAAAGTCAGTAAAATTAATGTTAGCTATCTTAAAGAGAAATTTCCTTTTGTCTTCCATTTTTTATTTGTTATGAGTTTTTTCCCTTCCAGATCGAAGTCATCATGTAGTTTTGTGCCTCACTTTTAGGTTCTCTGCTCCCATAGAAGGTCAAGAAGCTTGGAAATGAATGACGATGTTGCCTGTATTTGTTTCTGGGGAGCAGCAAACTTGTGGAAACCTTTTTACTATCACTTTTTTTTTTCCAAGACATATTTGATTAGTTTGGCAGCAATGGGAATGACAAAGACCTTAGCCAGTTCCAGAGAGGATAACAACACTATCATTGTCCTAGTAGTAGCAGCGTGTCTTCAGTACTCATTTCAAGTACGTCCCAATGCTTGTGTGAAGCCTTTATATGCAATGATAGTATTTCAAGGAAGGTGTTACTAATACAGTGTCATTTTCTTTCCGATTTTTCCCCTGACTTGTTCAGTATGAGTATAAATTAAATATATAAACATAGACAGTTTTTTTCTTACACTGCTACCCTACTGTTTTTCCTTCGTTATGAAATCTTTGATGTTTTGTTTCTTGTAATAATGCTTGGAATTTTTTCTCTAGTTTTCTAGTTGGTGGCTTTCTTCTGGATTTCACTCTGGATTATTCCGTGTATGTGTATGGAAGGGAGAAACAGAGCACTTGTTGCGTGTGTGTAACATGCAATACTGCTATGCAGTGTTTGTTTAGATGATTTCCTGCTATTGTTTATTTGTTACCCCTTCCTGAGGTGTGGATATATGAAAAATCAATGAAGCTGAAATTATGCAGCATTAGATGAGAATATGTATGTTAACCTGTGTTGTTTTGAGTATGTACTAAGGGATACAGAAGGAACCCTGTTGCCCTTGGCAATGTAGATGATTGAGTGTAAAGTATTCTCATTCAAGCCTTTCCTAGCTACTGGGACTTTACTACTATAATAAATGGACAAAGTCCTCTCCTCTCCCAAAATTATTCACAAGTTCTCACTGCTGCTGAATTTATTGAATATGAGGTGATGTCTTGGAGCAGATAGCTCTTATCTTTCTCCATCAGAAATACTTATATAGTCACTTGCTAACAGAGAGCATGATTGGGAGTGAGGGGGAGTCCCACCCCTGCCCAGTGCAGTGTAAATGTACTTGTAATGAAGCATATCAAAGTGGTTTGCCATCTTAGGGTCCAAATTATGGTGGCAATGTTAGTTAATAGGTCTATTACTTTGTTATTTTTCTTGAAATTCATCATATTAATTTTAATAGAGATACTGGGGGTTTTTTTTGAGGCGGTTCATTAGTCAAGTTTTACCTGGTTTTCCGTAGATCTAAATAGTGTATGTGTTGGCATGTATGGGTATAGTGTGTATATGCCTTTGTGCATGTCTCTGCGTATACATGATTATTTCCCCAGCTGGCTACAAGTCCTTCGTTTTACTGAGTGACAAAGGCCTTAGCAGTTGATTTTTCTTTGACTTTTGCTCTTTCAACAGCTTGACTCAATCAGAACTTTAAGTGTTCTGATAAACCTCTCCAATCATTATCTAAAAATTTACACATGGAAGTGGGAAATTGTTTTCTTTTTTCTTCTGTAGTCTAACTGTACTAAATAGCAAAGTACTGTTGTTACAAAGACCTAGAAGAGAATATCTGGATTTTTTTTTTTCAGGATCTAGTCCGTGTATATAGATTTACACAGTGAGTGTACAGTTGTTTTTTCAGATTTTTTTGATCATTTGTGTATGAAATTGCTGCTCAGAATCAAGACAACTTAGTGACTCATACAGAGATATATAGGTGGATACACTCTCCTATCTATATTGCTTGAAAACAAGCTCTTCTACTGTTGAGGTGTTACAGATGAGATGGGAAGTAATCTCAGTATTACAATATGAACTGTCAGGCATAGTATGAATTGGATTTTCTTTTTTTCAATAATTTTCACTTTTACCAGATATAAAAAGTGATTATATCATGCTTTTTAAAAATTACACACTCTAGTGGTGTATCCATAGTGACATAACAAAGAATGTATGAAGTGGAAATATGAAAATTATTTGTCCTTAGTAATCCAACTTTGCATCTAATAGTTATGCTACTAATTGCATGCTGACATTCTGTAGCACAGATCTTTGTGGCTTGATTGAGTATAAATATCTCCTATATAATGCTCACCAGATAAATACTTGCAAATAAATATATTGGACAAATGTCCAAATATCAGACAATAATGAAAGTTATTTCTAGGGAGAAGTTTTTAGTGGTTGTAAATTAAAAATATGGGAAAATATGCAAATTTACCTCGGAGTGTTGTGTATGAAATTATAGAAAAGTGATACAGAATTTTCTATATAGTAAGTTCCCAAATGATAAGAAATGCCTTTAGATCAAACCAGTGGAATTTTCCTGAAGGCCTTTTTAAGGGAGCTGGCACAGGTTCTGTGTGCTTCTTGAACAGTTCTATGTGTTCCATGGTATTGTTTTCAAATTAATTAGAACATTTTGTCTATTGTCACTGAAATGTACTGCAATTCATGATAGAGCAGTTGTCCAGTAGTCAGTAAATTCCTTTTAGGAAAAGGGTAAAAGTAAAGGAAGAATAATGTTATATAAAACTTGAATTATTTCTGAGAGCTGGTGCATATTATCATTTAAATATTTTGTGAATTAAATGTTTCTGTGTCTATGTATGTATTTATCTCTATGTGTTAAATCTCTCCCTTCTGATCCTATTGCCACAGTTTTAAACTATTGTATAATAGACAATATTTATAAGTCTTTTAAGAAGTATAACGAATTGTACAACGAACAAAACAAAAACTACACCATATCTCTTCCTCTCCATTTATAAAAG